CTTAGGTCCCCTTGGAGTCTATGCCTTGTGTTCCTGCCCCCTTCAGTGGCCCTCCCTTTCCCCTCTCCGCCCTGCCTGTGTGACTCGCCCTTGTCAACTCTGCTGAATGTCTTGACTGCCCACTGACCAGCTCTGCGTGTGCCCCTTGCAGGTGGAGGGGAGGGGCGGGGGTCAACACCGACGCTTCCTCACGCCCCTCCCCTGTGGCTGTACAGGTACCCGTGGGGATGGGAGGGAGGCAGCACTGCCAGTCGTTGCCACAAGGGAGAGTATCGGGGTGGGCTTGGCCTCTCAAGGTACGTCTGCCTCTCTCCTGCCCTCATCCCTCTACCTTTCTGCTCTTCAATTCCGCCTTCTCGTTTTCCTCACCTTTAGTTTGTTATCTTGCCTATCATGCCAACTCACTCGCTCTTACTTCCCCACTTTCTTCCCCCCTTACCAAGTCACTTGGCATCGAGTGAAGACTGCAGTGGTGCTTCAGCTACCCTCTGCTCGCTCTCAAACAATCAGCTAAGTGTCCCTTCCTCCATGCCCTCGCCCTTGCTGCTGCCATTTCGTTTGTCGCATCTGCTTTCGCACCCTTCCTCTTGAAGCAGTGCCACTGGTGAGGTCCGCCTCACATGCCACAGACCCCCCAACTCCAGGTAACCCCTCAGGTGTAGATCAGGTGTAGGTAACCCCTTCAGGTGCAGGTAACCCCTTCAGGTGCAGGTAACCCATTCAGGTGCAGGTAACCCCTTCAGGTGCAGGTAACTCATTCAGGTGCAGGTAACCCTTTCAGGTGCAGGTAACCCATTCAGGTGCAGGTAACCCTTTCAGGTGCAGGTAACCCCTTCAGGTGCAGGTACCCTTTCAGGTTCACCCCTTGGGGTCTGTGCTTTGTGGCTTGGCCTCCACCAGTGGCCCCTCCCTGCTCTCGCCTTGCAATCTCTCTTCTCGCTCTTGCACTCTCACCATTCCTCCCCTCGCTGCCCACTGACCAGCTCTGCGTGTGCCTTGCAGGTGGGGGGAGGGGCGGGGGTCAACACTGACGCTCCCTCACGCCCCTCCCGGGTGGCCGTGCAGGTACCCGTGGTGATGGGAGGGAGGCAGCACTGCCAGTCGCTGCCACAAGGAAGAGTATCGGGTTGGGCTTGGCCTCTCAAGGTACGTCACCTGCCCTCTTGCCCTCGTCTCTCTCTCTTTCTGTTCTTCAGTTTTGCCTTGTCAATTTCATCAACTTCAGTTTTGTTAGTCAATTTCATCAACTTCAGTTTTGTTTTTCCTTCTCTGGTCCAACCAACTCACTTGCTTTTACTTCCCCCCTTTCGTCTGCCTCCTCCCCCCTCGCCTGTGGCCGTGCATGTGCCTGTCTGTGGGGATGGGAGGGGGCCAGCTCTGCCAGTCGCTGCCATAAGGGAGAGTATCGGGTTGGGCTTGGCCTCTCAAGGTACGGCGCCTCCCCTTTTGCCCTCAACCCTCTCTTTTTCTGCTCTGTAGTTGCGCCTTCTCTTTCTCGTCAACTTCAGGTCATTGATTTCTCTAGTCCAGCCTATTCACTTTCTTTTACTTTCCCCCTATTCTTCTGCCCCCACACCTGCAGGCCACTGTGCATCGAGAGAAGCTGAGTAGCAGACCGGCAGCAGCAGTTGTAGTAGCAGAAGCGGCGGCAGCAGCAGCAGCAGTGGGGGGTGGGGGGTTAGAGGCGGGCTAGGTTAGGTTTAGTCGTGAGCGAGGTGTGGTATGGTATCAGGTAAGGTATGGTAACAGGTTTGGTATGGAGATCTGATCCCCTCCTCTCTTTCTTCCTTCCCACCCCTCTTTGCAGCCTGAGTATGGAGGGAGCACTGGAACAAGGGCGGGACAGAGGCATCTCCTTTTCATCCTCACCTTCCCCTTCTCCCTCCCGCTGCCCCCCTCCCCACATTTCAGCACGGTCGATGCAGCCTGAGGGAGAGAGGGATCAAGGGCGGGACAGAGCCATCGCACTAACCCCCCCCCTCCCCCCCCTCCTCCCTCCCCACTTCCCAACACCCTGAGGCAACATGGCGCTCTGCATGGGTGTGGTAGGAAGAGGAAAGAGGCATGGGGTGAAGGGGAGAGTGGGGAGGCGGTGGGAAGCATGGGAGCAAGTGGGCAGGTCACTCTCTCAGGGGCAGCATCCTCTAGGGATGTGCCTTGCGGGTCGGGGTGTGGTGGGTGGAATCTGCGCGGCACGGCACTCGGTGCTCAAGTAACTAACCTGACGTTAAGGCTTAATGGGCACCGTCAGAGTCGACCGGCCGGCGACTCTGGTTCGCGTCAGCTCTAGCTACGTCAGGGGCAGGATTTGAGTCTTGGGCTGGAAGCAATTTTCCACTACCACACCTCGCCCTTCAAGGCACAGCTCCTGGGGGTGCTGTTTCCGAAGGGGAGTGGGCTGTCTGCTGCTCCTACTGCTGGCAGGTATGGAGGGGAGGGGTTGGGTGGGTTGGGTGGTGATGGTGGTGATGGGGTGATGGTGGTGATGGGGTGATGGTGGTGATGGGGTGATGGTGGTGAGAGGCAGTGGGGTTGGCGATGGCATATGATGAGCCGTATGGCACTGATGACACCCTTAAGCATGGAAGCATGATGCTCATGCTTGGCTGGTTGGGGGCACATGATGAGTTGCACTGATGCCACGCGTGCATGGAAGCGTGATGCTCGTGAGTGGGTGAAAGGGGCTGAGTCCCCTTGGGTGGGTGAGAGCAAGTGAAAGGGGCTGAGTCCCCTTGGGTGGGTGAGAGCAAGTGAAAGGGGCTGAGTCCCCTTGGGTGGCACATGATGGGCCGTATGGCACTGATGCCACTTGTTGCATGAGAGGTCATGGCTGTGAGAGTGAGTGGTGAAACTGAGTGTGCAAGTGGTTGGTGAGTGTGGGTGAATGAGTGAGTGGTGGTGGTGAGGCTGGGTATTGAGAGGGTGAGTGGTGAGAGTAATTGCGAAAGTGGTGAGAGGGAGTGAGTGGTGAGTGTAATTGCGAGAGTGGTGAGAGTAAGAGGTGGCAGTGGTGAGTGTAAGTGTTTGGTGGTAGGGAGTTGTGAGAGAGTGTGAGCAACGGGATTCAAATGTTCAGCTTCATGATGTCAGTGCGTGGTGACAGTGAGAGCAAAGAGTGGTGAGGTTGGTTAGTCCGAGTGGCGACAATGGTGAGAATAAATGGTGAAAATGTTAAGTGGTGGAGGGGTGGGAGTCACGAGGTGGTGAGATGGAGTGAATAGTGTGAGTGAGTCACCACAGGTGAGAGGGTGAGAGAGTTGAGTGGTGAGAGGTGACAGTGGTGAGAATGGGAGGTGAGTGTGGTGAGAGCGAATGAGTGGTGGGGAAGAGTGGTGAGAGTGGGAGGTGAGAGTGGGAGGTGAGAGTGGGAGGTGAGAGTGGGAGGTGAGAGTGGGAGGTGAGAGTGGGAGGTGAGAGTGGGAGGTGAGAGTGAGCCGCAACATTGGGATGTTCAGGTTTTAGATTTGAGTGCGTGGTGGCAGTGAGAGCAGGTAGGCTGGTGAGGGTGAGCGGTTAATATGGTTGGGTAGGTGAGACTGAGTAGCAGTGATAGTGGGTGATAGACTCAGGTGAGTGTGAGTGGTGATAGTGGGTGATAGATACAGGTGAGTGTGAGTGGTGATAGTGGGTGATAGACACAGGTGAGTGTGAGTGGTGATAGTGAGTGATAGACATAGGTGAGTGTGAGTGGTGATAGTGGGTGAAGGCCACAGGTGAAAGAGAGGGAGTTTAGTGGTGAGAGTGCTGCAACTGATTGTTGAGGGTAATCGAGTGAGTGGTGGTGAGGCTGGGTAAGTCAGAGGGTGTGGTGAGGGTGAGAGTTTGAGCGGTGAGAAGTGAGAGTGAGGTTGAGTTGTGAGAATGGCGAGTGCATGGTGATTTTGGTGAGGGTGGGTGGTGGGAGTGAGTGAGTGGTGGGAGAGAGGTCTGGGAGTGGGAGGTGAGGGTGAGTGGCATTAGCTGAATGGTAAGTTTTTCAAGGTGTTAGTGCGTGGTGACGGTGAGAGCGGAGAAGGTGGTGAGGCTGAGTCGTTAAAGTGGGTCATGAGAATGGTGAGTGGTGGAGGGGTGGGAGTCTAGAGGTGGCGAGCTGGAGGTAATTAGTGGTGTTGATAATATATCGTCAGAGAGAGTGGTGCAAGTGAGTATAAAGATTGAGGATTGAGACTGGATGGGGAGTGACTGGTGAGTGTGCAATGAGAGTGGATGGTGAGAGGGTGGTGAGTGTCAATGAGTGCTGGGAGTGGCAAGGGGTGCAACAGTGTGCAATACACTGGATTCTCATAATGGCAACTGTGTGCATGCATGCATGAGTACACCAAGCATGCATGTGTGCATGTTTGCAGTTCGCATGCATTTGTGTTAGTGTGCACGCATACATGATCCCATTTGGACCTGTATTTATCTAATATCTCATTAGCAGAGTGACACATTTTTTGTTTTTTTTTTGTTTTTTTTTTAATTGTTGATAATTCTGCATGCTTGCATGATTCCATTTGGACCTGTAGTTATCCAATATCTATTCAGAAAAATAGACTTAAAAAATCTCTCAAAGTCCTGAAAAGCACACTTTCATGTGATTAAGGAATATGCAAAACGTGTTTAGATATTTTCATTCATGGTAAGTTTCTCAATTATAATCTGCTTACACTTCTGACTTGTTTACAATATTTCGCGAAACACAACCATATCCCCGCACAAGCTGCTAGGCCATCAGAAACGGCCTTTCCCCCCCTCGATTCTGTCACACACAGCCTGGTTCAGACTTTGTTCAGAGGAATTAACTAGAAACAGCCAGCAGTCAGTTCTCTACTGTATCTGCTCGTCTCAGATTAGAAACACTGGCTTGTCCAGCCAGTGAGGAGGATCATGGAGAATCGGCATCACAGTTCATAGCTGAGATTTACGCGCAAACCGCTAGGTCTGCGGAAGGACTGCTGAGCGAAACCTGGCTGACGCCAGAAGGCGAGAGATCCAGATTCCAGGCGTAGTAGCGCGGCATGGGGGATCCAGGCGAGCCGTTTTCGCTCGACTTGCACGGGCCGGGCGCGTCCGCGCTGCGCGCCGTCGTGCGCGACAAGCTCGCTGATTTCTCCGAGAGCTTCACCGACGACGTCCTCGCGGTACGCGTTTCCGAGAGCGTTCGTTACGGTTATGTGGCGTTAATTACGGTTCCGTGGCGTTAAGAGGCGGTTTCGTGTTGGTTTGTGGGGAAACGTCGGATTCCGTAACACTTTATACGAATTCATGGCAGCTGTAGGTATCGGATAGCAGTAGTTGGTCCACTAATTTAGCCATGCGTCGATACGTCGTACGAGAACTTACTTTCTCGTGAGATTGACGCCGTATTGCCGACGCGGAGCAATCGTAAGCATCCACGTGCCCCTCGATCTACGGTCGTCGTTCGCGAATGTTCGCCTTTCGCGATCCCCACGCCGCCGAATGATCCCCCGCAAATCGGATCCGCCTATAATTCCGTTTCTTTACTCGCCAAAGGGAGTTTAGACAGGATATTCACGGACATTGGCATGAGTGGTTCCTTAATGTTAATCGCCTCTGGTATTCAGTGACCCGTACGGTTTTATGAACAACTGCTGGGCTTAGCTGCTCCTTATTGAACCACACAATACCGAACAAAGACGACTTTTGAGACGTATTCCCTCGCCTCGCCCAGCCTCGTGTCCACAGTCGCCTCGTCTTAGCTGCTCATTGTTGAACCTAGCATTTCTGAGCAGAAGCGAGTGGAAACCAAACATTTTTGTCTGCATCCTCAGAAGAGCCGTCCCCGGATGTTTGTTTGTATTCCGGAGACTGAGGAATAGTTAATATTTTCTTCGTTTTTCAATCCTACGCTTGACTAAACCCTGCCTGAACTCTGACTTAGCTCCGCCCTTTTTGCCCTAGCCTTCCCCGGCATCATCTCTGGCGCCTGCACCTTGTGCAATTCACGCGGAAGTACGGTAGGTCCCAGTCCGTTGTCCAATTCACTGAATCTGGACATTTTTCCCACCTCCCTCGCACGAGTACGTGGTGGTGCTGGTGGCGGACGGCAAGCCCAAGAGCCACGCCGCCGAGGATCTCAATTCTTATTAATTAAAGTTCACTGAATCTGGACATGTTTCCTACTTCCCTCGCAGGAGTACGTGGTGGTGCTGGTGGCGCACGGCAAGCCCAAGAGCCACGCAGCCGAGGATCTCGAGGCGTTTCTGGGCGACCAAACCGCCGCCTTTGTCGACTGGTGGGTGATATTCTTCGAAGAAATAATGTCATTGCGCTGCGCGGTACAGTAAATCCCTGTTATAGCGTTGTTGTTCTTTGACCTATTGTTTTTATACCGTATTCCTCTCCGTTTTCCTCACATTTTCTGTGAGTGTACAACCCTGTGTTCGTTTTGGTGCAGCCTGTTGCTTCACCTCGCTCCTCGAAAGCCCCCCACCCTCAGCCAAACCCCCCCTTCCTCCCTCCTCCCCTCATTAACAGGCTGTGGCTTCACCTGTCTGCCAACATTGGGAAATACAACGCGCCCGCTGCCCCAGATACCGCAGGTGCAGGGAAGGATGGGAGAGAAGCGTTGGCAAAGGAGGAGGAGAAGCGGGCCGAGGGGACGCGAGACGAGGGACGAAGGAGGGAGGTTGTTGAAGTGAGGGAGGATGGCGGCAGGGTGTGGGAGGAGAAGGGGAGGGAGGAGAGGGGACGAGATGGGAGGGCGAGAGAAGAGAGGGGGAGAGAGGAGAGAGGGAGGGAAGAGAGGGGGAGAGAAGTGAGAGGGCGGAGCAGGGAGAGGAGTGGTGAGCGAGGCAGGGAGAGAGGGGGAGAGAGAGGAGTGAGTGGAGAGAGGGAGGGAGGCTGGAGCAAGGAGCGGGAGAAGGAAAGGGACGGAGACAGGAGGAGCCTGGATGGAAGGACAGACTCGTGGAAGGGCAAGAGAGGAAGGGATGGGGTTGTTACGGGGCGTGAGGAAGAAAGGGGGAGGGGGTATGAGGAGAGAGGGAGAGGGTATGACGAAAGAGGGAGAGGGTATGAGGAAAGAGGGAGAGGGTATGAGGAGAGAGGTAGAGGGTATGAGGAGAAGGGGAGGGGAATTGAGAAGAAAGGACGGCTTTATATGGACGAGGTACGAGGGGCGGAGGGCGAGGAGGAAGGGGGAGTTGAGAGGAGAACGGCGAGGGGGGCGGAGAGGGACGTGAGGGCGCGTCGGGGTGGGTCTAGATCATGGTCTCCCCCAGGAAAGCGGGAAGAGAGGGAGCAGCGGAGGGAGGAGAGGGGAGAGGAGGGCGCTAGGCGGATGGAGGAAATGAGGGGTGGGGGATTGGATAGGGAGGAGGCAAGGGGTGGAGAACTGGGAAGGGCGGTTAAGAGGCGGGTGTCAGGGGAAGGGGGCGGTGAGGAGTGGCGGGGGAGGCATGAGGGGGAGAAGCAGGGGGGGAAGGGGGGGCGGGAGAGGGTGCGCGCTGAGAGGCATGGGGAGGAGGAGCGGGCGCGGATGAGGCGGCTGTTTGGCAGCAGCCTGGGCGAGGGGGCGCGGAGGCGGGCGACTGTGGACGGGGGGAGGGCGGATGGGGGGAGGGCGGATGGGGGAGAGAGAGCGGTGGCGCGGAGACGGACAGAGGGAGAAGTGGGGGCGGAGGGGGCGGAGGGAGCGGCGGGAGCAGGACTGGAGGGTAGCGAGGAGGCTGTGAGGAGGAAAGGGCGTGGGGCGTTTGCACTGGTGGCCGCGAGTGAGAGGCGGCTGGAGGGCGAGGAGGGGAGGTGGCAGGGCGAGGAGGGGGTGGAAGTAGGGGGGGAGGAGCAAGAGGGAGGGGACGGTGTGGAGAGAAGGGATGGGAGGGGCTTGGATGGGACACAGGAACGGATGGCAGGAGGGCAGGTTGTGGGGAAAAGAGGGCGGCAAGTGGGCGGGGGAGCAAGGGGAATGGGCGGCAGGCTGTGGCAGTTTGCGGTGAGAGACGCTGTGAAGCCTGCGAGGGAGGTGCGTGCTGCTGCTCACCCCCATGCTGCCACTGCGGCTGCACCTCTTGCTGCTGCTGCCGCTGCAAGAAGTAATGGTGAGCAACAGGAGGAGGCAGGAAGGGCAGTGGAAGTGAGGGCGACGAGGGAAGTAAGGCGAATTGTCGTGTCTGCCCCCAGCCGCTCTGCCATTCAAAGGTCTCCTGACCTCGTTGCTCCCCCTGCTGCCTCCGATGGTGCCTCCCCTTGTGCTGTGAAGGGTGCTGCTAGAGCAGCTAGTGAGGAGGAGCGAGTGGCAAGGGCAGAGGAGAGAAGGGATTGGGGGAGAGGAGAGGAGAGAGGAGTGGAGAGAGGGGAGAAGCAGGAAAAGGATAGAGGAGAGGAGAGAGAAGAGGAGGGGGGAGAAGAGGAGGGACTGGAGGAGGAGGAGGGGCGTGGGGCACGGAAACGGTTGCGATCAGTGGTGGTGTCTCTTCCTGCTGACGCCCCTCGCCGGATCAAGGCAGTGCGGAGGCAGGGGAGGGAGGGGCGGGAGGGGAGTGGGGGCGAGGAGGTAGAGGAAAGAGCAAGAGTAGATTCAAGAGGTAGGGGAGGGAAGGAAGGCGCAGAGGCAGGTAGAATGGGAGGGAGCATAGAGGAAGATACGGAGGGCAGGGAGGGGGCGGAGAAGGAGGGTGGTAAAGGGAGTGTGTGGGCGAGGCTGGGCAAACGATGTGTGCAGAGGGGTGGAGATGGGCGGATAGTGGTGCAGAGGCAAGCAGAGCTTGGGGAAGAGTATGGGGAAGGGTTTGGGGGAGGGTATGAGGAAGGGTATATGGGTGGGTATGCGGGAGGGTATGGGGGAGAGTATGGGGAAGAATACGCAGGAGAGTATACGGAGGGGTTGAGAGGAGTTGAGCAGGGTATGTGGAGTGAGGGAGTAGAGGGGTGGGGCGATGGGAGAGGAGGAGAGGGAGGGGGGATGCGAGTAAGGTTTGGAGGAGAGGACGAGGAGGAGGACGAGGAGGAAGAGGAGGGGGTTGAGGGCCTGGTAGGAGAGATGCAGGCAGGGGTGAAGGGAGGGGCGAAGAGAGGAGGAGGAAGCAGGGAGAGAGGCGTGAGGAGGATATTTGTGCGGGAGGATTTGATTCAAAGGGGTGTGCTTGTGAATGGCATGGGCTTGGGTATGGGTGCGGGAATGGGGATGGGCTTAACCGGGCAAAATGTAGGCCTGGTGATCGTCCCTGCTCTGCAGAACCCCCAGCTGTACGCTCAGCAACCCCCGATGTTGCAGCAGGCTCAGCAGCAGCAGCAGGTTCAGCAGCAGTATGAGCAGCAGGCGCTGCAGTCAACCCAGCAGCAGCAGCAGCAGCAAAGGCCGCAGCTGCAGCAGCGGCAGTGGCTCAGAGTGCCTCCGCAGCAGCAGCCGCATGAACCACAGCAGCAGTTGCAGCAGGGCGACACACAGGTGCAGCAGGCGCTAGAGAAGCTGCAGAAGCCCCAGGGGGCAGGAGGAGTGGGGAGCGGGCAGGAGGAGGGCGGAGTGCGGCGGTCTTGGCCTGGCACTGGAATGGGGGCAAGGCAGGGGAGGGGGGGGCAAGGCAGCATGGGGCGGGGGAGGGGAAGCATGACTTGGGTGGCGAAGAAAGGCGAGAAGGAGACCGAGAAGGATAAAGATATGGAGAAGGTGAAAGAGAGTAAAGTCAGCCCAGTGGCTCAGAAGCAGGTGCGTGTTTTTGCTCCTGCAATTGTGATTGTCGCTTTTTGATTCGACTAAAAGCACAAACTCCCCAGGTCGCTCATTTCCTTCCCACTCACTCATTCTGGCGGATCCACACGCGTTCTACCGTGTGGCAGGAGAGTGTGGAGGCAATGAGGCAGCGGCTGCAGCAGATGCAGGAGGAGATGCGGCGGATGAAGGCACTGCAGGAGAAGGCTGCTGCTGCTGCTGCTGCTCCTGGTGGCGATAAGGCTGCTGCTAAAGCTAGTTCAGCAACAAGCAATGCTGATGCTGCGCCTGCTAAGCCCACAGGTACACACCCGTGCTCATTCACTTGCCAACGGGCTCCTTGCATTATCTTTTCATTCACCCCTCTCAAGTCCCCCGTGTGTCTAAAAGTAGTGTTCTGAGACGTCTCAAAACTGATACCACATGTGTCCATCGCCCGGCTGATCTCTCTGTATCCCTCTCCCAATATCATTCTCTTCTCCTCCCTACTTCTCCCACTATCCGTCCTTCCGAAACTGCAGGGAGTTTTTGAGACTTCTCAAAAACTCCCTACTTCTCCCACTATCCGTCCTTGCGAAACTCCCCCTTTCACTGTCACCTCACATGCTTAACACATGTCTGTTATCTTTGTTCCTTCCTAATCCTTTCCTCCCAACCCTCCCGTTTTCCTCTCCCCCCCCTTCCCTTCTCTCCCCCATTCGTTTTGTGTATCGTTCACAGCAGCTGCTCACCCCAACGGCACGTTGTCAACCTCACCGCACTCCACCGCACTGCACGCCCATGCACCCACGCCCTTCTCCCTCGTGCGCAAGTCTCCCTCCACAGGGGACGCTGACGATCGCTCCGTGCTCGTTTCGAATGTGAGCTCCACTCTCTCCACCACACTCCACCGCACCTCACCTCACCTCACCTCACCTAACAAGATTTCACCCAACCGCCCCAGTCCTTTCCTGCTTTTACTCCCAGTCGGCCGAGAATTCCCCTGATCCCTCTCCACTATGCGATGCTATTGCACGCTTTGGGCTTCAAGAAATGTCAACCTGAAACAACCTGGAGTAAGAGTGCTGTCGTCAGTAAGAAGCGTTTCTGTTGAGGAACGCACTCCACAGCCACGCGTGCTGCCCCCTGCATTCTGCCATAAATATTTTCTCCCCTGGTGACACAGTCCTTTTCCTGCCTGTCTTGTGCCCTCTGCTCACTGCCCTCTGCTCTGCCGTTCCTCCCCGCAGGTGCACTTCGCAGCAACGGTGGCAGCGCTCGCGCTCCACGTTCACTTTTGAGTCGACTCAAAAGTCTGCCCTCTGCCCTGTGCCCTCCCCTCCGCCCTCCATCCCCATTCCTCCCCGCAGGTGCATTTTGCAGCAACGGTGGCAGCGCTCACGCTCCACTTCGCAGCATGTGGGGAGATTCGCAGAGTCACCATCCTCACTCATCCCCTCACTGGCCGCCCCAAAGGGTATTTTTTCCTACCTGCTGCTTTCAGAGCGTGATTCACACCTGCTGCATTCTTGCCATTTTCAGACACTTCCTTCCCTCCCGCCTCGTGTCACCATCCTCACTCACCCTCTCACTGGGCGCCCCAGAGGGTAACCATTCCCGCCTGCTGCTTTCAAAGGGTCTCATGATTCCCCACCATTGCTGCCTGCTTTCTTGAGGCGCCTCAAAAGTCCTTGTGATTCCACGTGCTGCTTTCTTACCATACGCTTCCCGAAACCTTTTTGTGCACCCTGCATCAACATGCTTTGATTGCATCCTATTGCATGCCTAAATAGCCACTTGTCATCCTAATATTGTAATTGTCAACATCAACATGCTTTGATTGCAGTAGCAAGTCTGCTTTCCAAACTTACACAATTATGCCATGCCTGCCCCCCAATCCCCTGCCCTCTCCACCTGACTGACTGCAGATGTGCTCATATCGAGTTCGCCACTAAGGAAGCGGTCGACAAGGCCCTAGCTCTCAACGACGCTTCGTTAATGTCACGCCCGCTCAAGGTACTTCCATTCCACCTCTTCGCCTCTCTATTCCGCCATCTCCTCTGGGTTCCATTCTTTCCTCGCTATGCCGCCTCCTCGCCCAGTCCCCTCCTGCCAGCACAGCTGTACACACATTCTCCTCAAGCTCTGCGCGACAGGGGAGGCACTCCTCTCTCTGTTACTGTGTGTGAGGAGGAAAATTTGTCTGTTTTCAGTACGAGAATGCAGTTTCCTTCGCTGCTGCACCAGCACTCATCACGCCTATTCTTCATCCCAGTCCTCACACCCCCTCGCTCCCTTCTCCCCCGTTTTCCCATTCCCTCCTCTGACCCGCTGATAATCCACAAGCTCCATGAAGCAGGAGGCACTCCCCTCTGCAGCAGCACCCACACCAGTCATGCCTCCCACTCTCTGACCCAGTATTTACGCCCCCTTCCTCCCTTGTCCCTCCCTTCTCCCCCCTCCCCTCACCCGCAGATAATCCACAAGTCCCATGCGGCAGTGGAGGCACTCCCTCTGCAGCAGCGCCCACACCAGCCATCACTAGTCCCACTCTCTACGCCTGTACTCGTATCAACTTCCTCCCTTCTCCCACTCTTCTTCCCGCAACCCCTCCCCTCACCCACAGATCGTCCACAAGCCCCATGCAGCAGTGGAGGCACTCCCCTCTGCTACCCCACCACCCATCACGCCCACCCGCCCCACTCGCCCACTCCTCACGCCCACCAAGCTCCCCTCCCCTGCTCCGGGCACCAGTCCCACAGCCCTCGCGTCCCCCTCTGCCCGGGTTGTGCCTGGAAAGGCCCTGGCTGTGGGTGTGAAAGCGCAAGCTGTTCGCCGGCCCTCTGCCAGAGGCAGCTTGCAGTGGCGGAGACAACCTGAGGAGTCTGCTCCTGCTGCTGCTGCTGCTCCTGCTGCTGCTGCTGCTGCTGCTGCTGCTGCTGCTGCTGCTGTTGCTCCTGCTGCTGCTGCTGCTGCTGCTGCTGCTGCTGCTGCTGCTGCTGCTGCTGCTGCTGCTGCTGTCGCTCCTGCTGCTGCTGCTGCTGCTCCTCCTGCTGCTGAGACTAAGGTCGAGGGCAAGGGTGGTGTGATAGGCAATTCAAAGGAAGCTGTGCAGAAAGCAACAGCAAATTCTGCACCTGTGGCAGCAGCTGCTGCTGCTAAAGGAGGCGAGATCGAGGGGTGATCCAGTAAACAGGTTTTTTTTGCTGCCTGGAGCACTGGCAGGGACAGCTACAGGGAGCCTGGCATGCTGTTTCTTTGGTTCTCGTACGAGCTGTGTGGATCAGCCCTCGTTTCTGCTCGTGGTTTAATTCTTCAGTTATTTCATCAAATTGCAGAGGAACGTGGCATCAGTAAATGAAATGAATCAAATAATTTGTTTTTTGGAGCAGATTCAACTCTCTTGCTTGGAATGTTCTTCCGTAGCACACTCTCAAATGTTCTAAGCATACGCCTTCACGAATCGCCTAATGGGGGATACGGACTCAGTGCGCTCCGCCAGCACCCTTCGAAACCATTTGAGGCGATCTTGGCCATGTTCAACCCAACCCCATCGTTCTATTAGCTGAATGTACCGCGATGACTTTTACCCACACAAAAATCGAGTGCTTTTCGAGGAAACATGGCAAGTTCGAATGATGTTGAGGGCGCATTCGTAGCCCGTGTCAGACATCAGGTCAGACCCGAAGTGGAGGCTCGGAAGACCCGAAGTGGCTCGTTCGTGAGGCAAATCCGAGTTCGGATAATCCAAATCGGAGACTAAGGGCTTTTGACCTGAAGTCTGGCACGGGCCACGAATGCGCCCTGAGTCGAGTAAAGAAGGGAAGCAATATTTGTTCGCATTACACCTGTAATACCAAATATCAGCCTCATGGCCGAAAAAGCATTATCCATTCACCCTTCACGCATATATCACTAATGGCAACCTGAGAAAATAGGGAAACGCTGCCATTAAGATTGCCCAACCTCGTCATTGAGCACCTGTTCAGTAACCTTGCGTTTGTGCTCCTGCATCTGCAACGACCATACTAATGATGGTCTTCATCCTCCAGGGATGTTCTCATATACATACCTGCTTTTTCGTCTGAAGCAGAAACGGCATCACATCACGATTCAGTAGCCCGATTTGTGAAACGCTGGTTTCTCACCATCCCCGCAAACATCACACTGTGTGCATTGACCAAGCCATTCATTAGCATGAGTAGAGCATCCCATCGTATCCAAGCTCAAATGTGTCGCTGTTTCAAGTTTACACGGCCTACCTTGTGCAAACGTCTCCCCTTTTCAATGATACTTCACGCGTGATCATGGGATAACGACGAGTCGCATTGGTTCACACTCGTCGAAGCCCTCCAGCTTGAGCAGTAAAAGTGCGAATAAATTGACGCATTTGAGAATCTGAACTGCCGCAGTCGAGGTGATTCTATGCCTACTAAGCCAACTGTGGAGATCACGAGCCGCCCTTACTGAAGTAGTATGTAATGCGGCAATCACCCGTCGCTTCTAAGACTCTCACAACTCTTATTCATAAATATCATTGTTCCTGACACCAGAAAAAAAAACGATCGTCAAGCAAGTAGCATCTCGTCAAATGACAGTGTTGAGGACTGATCACACTGGTTGCGGGTCGCGCTTCCAATCCTTCAGTATTACTGATAGAGGAACCTCTATCAGATCTCAACAATTGAGAACTTCTGGAAAAAACAGGACGAGTTCGCTACTCTGGAGACCCCTCGCAAGTGAATTTGGTTGTTGTTGATCGCCGACATGTCATGAAGAAATTTGCTCACACCCACCCCATGCATCAGCAATGCAACAGAGCGTGGGAGGTTTGGGCGTTGGCGGGAAAACTATCAAATTGTGGAACATAGTTCCGTGAAAGTTGGAAGCGACCATCGCATTCCCCACGATCACGGGAGACAGGCACAACTCCTTTTGGACATGATTCAAGGCCAGGGAAGAAATCTGTTTATCCAGCGCAGCAAAAAGATCTCGAGTCCCGACGCGTGCTGAGGAACTGTTGCGATCTGATGGGTAGGGAGGTGGACGGAAAGGGGCAAACGGGAAGGCTGGGTGGGAGCGAGCTACCAAAAGCTTGTGATCGAAGGTGAAAAGAAGCATTCAACCGAATTGGACCGACCAGCACCTACAGCTGGTGTCACTCATTCCACGCAAATTGGCTGCGAAGGTGAGTGCCCCAACAAAGGAACAGACCAAACGAAAGCGGAACCCGAGCGGAGCGAAGCGGAACGCAGAGGCGTTTTCTCCGCCTACAATTGATGCATGTTTGAGCCCCTTCCGGTTGCCTTGTGAAGGGGGCGTATAAGCCGTATCGAGCATTTCGCATAAGTTTCGTCAAATCGCAGTTAGCTAAAAAATATTCGCAGGTACTTATATTCAGGATCTGTAACCTTATTCGTTGACATTTTGACTTCAGTCTCTTCAGTTTGACTTCGGTCTGTTCGTTACTATTGGTCCATAACCACGCGACGCGCTTGTATTGTGGGTGCAACAGGCTGGAGAAAAGACCTCGGGTGCAGCGTTTCCATCCGGTAAAGGGCGAGTTTGCGTGCACTGGCTGGGCATCATGTGTACCCGCTTTTGGCGCAAGCCTGTCTGAGTGGTTCACCTACGCGTTCGCTGTGGGGGCCACCTGGTTTCCCCCGCAAATTGGTTGTGTGGGGGCCAAGCACACATTTTCCCCCGCTTTTTGCTTGATGCGGATTGGAAGGGTTGGCGCATCGCATCACAGGTCGCCCAGATTCCCACCGTGGCAGGTGCACCAACCACCGAGCACCATCTCCAGCAAGCTTGGCCATCACGTTTCGCTGACGGGGCTCTGGTGGTTGGCTTCCGAGATTGGGAAAATGCCTCGGAACAGGTGGCAATCTTGACGAGAATTACGGGACAGCACAGCAAGATTATGCGAACAACTTTCTGCACATCGACGGCTGTGAAGACACCATACAGGTACTGTGCTGGACAAGACATCGCCATGCGCTGTCGCACAGACCACGCGAAAAACACCAACATCACGGCGCCGATCGCCAAATCCCCTCCACGTACATAACGAGCACCAATCAGCGCCACGCTCTCTCAGGAGGAATCAGCCACATGGACTTACCCCGCCCTTGCTGACGCGGTTGGTGTGCCTTTAATGCTGGAACAGTAGCTCACGTGGCGGAACAGCTGTGCGGAAGCTCCAGGTCGCGCCTTGGGATTGGGGGAGGGAAGCGGAATTAGGTGGAGGAAATGTCTGTCGCAGCCAAGCGAAAATGCGTAGCCTGCTTGATCGGCCCTACAGCTTTAGGAGAATCTGCGAGTACAAAGCACAGTCAAAATTGCCAGCGTTTATTGTCACTCCCAATAGCAAAGCGATTCTCAGCTACCTAGAGGTACCAGTTCAGATCCAAGCTTTCTCTCATCAGCTTCCTGTAACCCCAAATCCGCCATGGCTGCCGAAGCTCCCAAGGACGATAAAGTGGTACGCTTGAGCGCACATGTTTTCTTCCCGCAAGCACATGGCAATGTAGTTGATCAAGCCGAGCGTTGCCCTTCCAATTCGATTACCCGGTAATACAACTGCCTTACGCTTCTGCTCGTCTTTTCCAGGTGTTCGACCCAGCTGCCCAATCAAGGAAGACCACGCGTGCTGGAGAGCACATTCAGAAGGTGAAGGAGATTCCGGACTTCGCTCCCAAGGACATCTATGTTGCCAAGCTCGAGCCTAAGGAGGTTCTCCACAACCTCTCCGTCGCTGGTGAGTCTCTGCTTTCAGCGAGACACACTAGCGTTGCACATTCTCGGGGTTAGACGACATTTTTTGGCAGCTTAAAGCTAGGATTAACATAGACTAGTTGAAGAATTGTTTACCTGTTCTAACGGACATTTCGGCGGCGGTGATGCGTTGCAGAGCTTTACGAGCAAGCCATCGCCCATGAGGAGGGCAACTTCATCGTCTCCACCGGCGCGCTGTGCGCCATCTCCGGGCAGAAGACCGGCCGCTCCCCCAAGGACAAGCGCGTCGTCAAGGAGAGGGACCACGCTGACGACATCTGGTGGGGCGAGTAAGTACCGCCACCCCTCTCAATCCCACGCTGTTCCACGCAAATTCACGCGAAATACTCAGATTTGCACTATTCGTCCTCTCTAACGTTTCGATGTCTGCGATCCGAGCTCCAACTTTCTTCGCGCATTTTTTCATTGACTGTTTTCAGAGGGTCACCCAACTACGAGATGGACGAGTACACGTTCATGGTGAACCGCGAGCGCGCCATCGACTACCTGAACACGATCGGCAAGGTGTACGTGCAGGACATGTTCCTCAGCTGGGACCCAAAGCTGCGCATCAAGGTCCGCATCGTGTGTGCGCGCGCCTACCACGCGCTCTTCATGCACAACATGTGAGCCCCCTCACCCTCCCCACTGAGTACCCCGATCCCCGTAAATTCGGACTCTCTCGATCTCGTCTAATCTCGTGTATGATGCTCGATTGTCCTCAATTGCGGTCCCGCATGGTTCCCAGTGGTTTCTACTCTCCCTCTGCTGACGGGGTAATTCCTTCATTCTCTCGCCTCTCTCCAGGTGCATCCGGCCGACGGAGGAAGAGCTCAAGGACTTCGGCGAGCCCGCCTTCACCATCTACAACGCGGGCCACTTCCCCGTGAACCGCCTCTCCAAGTACATGTCGTCGGGCACCTCCGTTGACATCGATCTCAACCGCAACGAGATGGTCATCCTCGGTACCGAGTACGCGGGCGAGATGAAGAAGGGGCTTTTCTCCCTCATGAACTACCTCATGCCCAAGAAGGGCGTGCTGTCGCTCCACTCCGGCGCGAATATGTCCAAGGACGGCCAGGTCTCGCTCTTCTTCGGGCTGTCTGGTACCGGCAAGACGACCCTCTCCACCGATCCGAACCGGTATCTGATTGGTGATGACGAGCACACGTGGAGTGATGATGGTGTGGCGAACATCGAGGGCGGGTGCTACGCCAAATGCATCAACCTGAGCAAGGAGAACGAGCCGGACATCTACAACGCGATCCGGTTTGGATCGGTCGTGGAGAACGTGGTGTTCAACCCGCACACGCGCGTCGTGGACTACGACGACGGCAGCATCACGGAGAACACGCGCGCGTCGTACCCCATCGAGTACATCGCCAACGCCAAGATCCCGTGCATCGCGGGCCACGCGACCAACGTGATCCTCCTCACGTGCGACGCGTTCGGCGTGCTGCCGCCCGTCAGCCGGCTGACGCTCGAGCAGACCATGTACCACTTCATCTCCGGTTACACCGCGAAGGTGAGCAACGAGGGGGCGATGCACATGCGCAGGGTGCTGGATGGAGGGTGTGGGGGATGGGTTACTGGGTTTGCGTGGGCGGGGAAGGGTTGTGATGCTCGAATGCAACGGCTCACTCCCAACCAACGTTCAAATCAACCCTGCATGAAATTCGCCTGCTTCAGAACTAATCGACTTAAGGAGATAGGCGTCCTTGAATTCCTCGTCCTCCTTACATAACTAGATGATGAACTCTTCCCAATGTTCTATGCCTCCCTCACCTTCAGGTGGCCGGCACTGAGATGGGCGTCACCGAGCCAGAGGCTACCTTCTCCGCATGCTTCGGCGCGGCCTTCATGATGTGGCACCCGTACAAGTACGCGACGCTGCTCGCGGAGCGCATCAAGAAGCACGGCAGCACGGCGTGGCTCGTCAACACCGGCTGGACCGGCGGCGGATACGGCGTGGGGCACCGCATGAGCATCAAGCACACGCGTGCCATCATCGACGCTATCCACGACGGCTCGCTGGCCAATGCGGAGACGGTCACCACGCCTGTCTTCAACCTGCTCGTGCCCACCACCTGCGCCAATGTCCCCAACGAGTGCCTGCAGCCCGAGACCCTGGTACGCATCGTTTCTCTCCATGAAAGCCCTTCTCTTACCTCTGATTTTATCTCTCCCCTTTCTTACCTCCCTGCTAAAACCTCCCAAACATCCCGATCCTATCCCCTCACCATGGTTCTCAATTGCTCCTGTTTTGCTCTCTGCGTGCAGTGGGCGGACAAGGCTAAGTACCGCGAGACGTTGGAGAAGCTGGGCAAGCTGTTCCAAAAGAACTTCGGCAAGTTCACCGAGTTCGAGATGGGCGGCACCGCACAGCGCATTCCCGACGACGTGCTCAACGCTGGCCCCGTCCTGTAAAGCACTCCGCGCTGCTGCTAGCGCGGGGTTGTGCGATTTATTGCGCTGATCAGAACGTGATAGGGCTTCCGCAGCGGTACCTGGAGTGGGTGCTGCGTGGTCTAGGAAAGGGAAGTTTCGATGGGGGATCAAGGGATCCCTTTTTGCGTGTGGTGCGATCTTTGGCAAAATTCATGTTGCTGATCTTTGTTCCCTATACCCCCTTGTCGGCAATTTATATTTATATTTGAGTGCTACTATCGTTGTCCCAAATCATACCTAAAATGCCTGAAATCAACCCAACATCTCTGTGCCACTAGACACAAGGTTAGTGAAATCTAAATAATGGCAAAAATAGAGTATACCAAAACGGTTCAGGTCTAGGTTTTGAAGTTTCAATATAAACACCAGCTTGTTAAATGCATCCCTTCAAAAGCAACATTATCCCAGTTGATCAAAACATATTTAATTGCTAACATGTTTCAAATATTAACATTTATGTGCATATTTTCAATTCTCCTTTCAATCCTTTTTTTAATAACTCCATGCCAAAAGACAATACTCAATCTAATTCACAGGTATCTTAAACGTAAAATATAAATACACGCACAAAACAGCAGTACTGCAGTACAGTGGTTGAAGTATCTTATTATCGGTTTCATCTCATCAATCCAAATAGCTTGATGCACTACCGCAGTTGGTAAGGTTGCTGTTAGAGCGTATGGAGACATCTCAAACTCGCCATAACCAGACTTGATAACTGCGTAATGTGACAGCACACAACAAATTTTGGTACGAACGTGGCCACTCGCTCGTTCGGTAGGAGGCACGCGCCGCAGCTCATCCCTGGAAGCTCCCCCAAGCTCTGTCCGCTCGCGCTACTCGCGGCGCCTCGCAGTGTCTCGCCACCACAGAGTTCACCGATGGAGTCTTATTGAGTCGTCGCAAGCAGAGCCCACCGTTTCGCGAATCAAAGCGCGCCGATGGACGGATTCCGCGGCGCCGTGGACGCCGTCGCGGCGATCTTGCGCCGCGTGCTGCTACGCGACCCCAGCAACCGGCGCGAGGCGTGCACGTGGCTCGCGGCGCTAATCGGTCGCGTGCAGCTCCCGCCCGCGCTGCGCCGCGCGCTTGTCTGCCGGCTCGTGGCGCGCAGCGGATCGCTCGACCCTGGTGAGGCCGTGGGAAAGGAGCGCCTTTCTCAAAACTCCCAAGGCCCCGCATCCCTCGTCCCCCATCCTCCATTCCCCCTCCCCCGACCCTCATTCCGCATCCCTGTTTTCGCTCTCCCTCTCCGGTTCTCTCGAACTCCCAGCGTCCCAACACCCTCCCCAGCCCCATGCGCCTCTGACAGCTCTCTTAATCCGCTCATGCCTCTCCTTCCCCGCTTTAATTCCCCACACCCCCACACTTCTCCCATGCCCCTCCCCTTCCCCCCTCCTCCCCAACCCCCTCCAAGTCTTCCCCAGGCGCCTCTGACCGCTCGCTGCTGCGCCAGCTGCTGCAACTGCTGTGTGAGGAAAGGCCGAAAGATGCCGCCCGGCTGCTGATGCATGACCCTGACCTCATCCGCTCGTTCTTTGCTGGTGAGTCAACGCGAGTCAATCCAGTCAGGGTGTGACAATGCGAGTCAAAGCAAGTCAACTCTAGTAGAAGTGAGCCAATCCTCTCCTCTCATTATTCTATTCCCTTCTCCTCACCCCTCTCCTGCTCCCATGCCTCACTTTCTCTCCACTCCACCAACCCCCATCCACCCTCTACAGCCAATCCTCACCGCATTCTCTTGTGGTTCGACCATTTCAGTCTGGGGCCTGGCAGTCAAGGGGGCAGATGGGGGGAAGAGGGGGAGAGGAGCAGGGAACAGCAGAGACCAAGCGCCTATGCTGCTACTGCCTATGCTGGTTCTGGTTCTGGTTCGGCCCACACCAAGTTGGCAGGGTCGGCAGCAGCTGGTGACGCTCTGCACCGGGACAGTCCAGGTTCGGGCCGGCTTGTCTTGCCGACCCGAGCTCTGGTTCGGAACCACAGGTTCGGGGCGCAAGCCTTGGCCGAGTTTGCGTTTGCACATCGGGAGGACCATTGGCACCGGCTGGTGTGGGCAGGGAAGCATGCGCAGACACCTGTTACTGTTGCTGCCCGGCCGCATTATTTCTGCGAGCTGGACATCTCGGGCACCATGAAAAACTTTTTGCGCGAGGTGCCCGAGTTCTGGTCGTCGCACGAGCTTCGGAAGACGTTACAAGACGGCGCGCTCTTGTCGCTGGATATCAGTTTTTTTGTAGAGGAGTTGATGAGGAGGCTTGTAAGGGAGATGGAAGATGAGAGGAGGAGGAGAGGGTGGGAGGAAGGAGTAGAGGAAGTGTTACGCACGGAGAGGAGGGAGGGCGATGGGAGGGACGTGAGGGTAAGGAAGGTGTGGATAAGGGAGGAGCGAATGCAAGCGCAAATACAAATTCAAGAGGAAAGGAGAGGGCGACAAGGAAGAGAGATGGTACACGAGTTGGTGGAAGACTTTGTTGACTCGGTTGACTGGGCTCTGCTGTGCTCTCGGGTGCTGGCTGGGGCGGGTGAAGAGGGGCTGGAGAGTGTTGCTCGCGGGGTGTGGCGATGGGCGCAGGGGAGGAGAGGGGAGGAAGGAGGGGGGCCGGACAGGAGGGAGGGTGGGAGGAAGCGAGAGGATGGTCGAGAGAGGGAGAGGGGGATTGAAAGGGAGAGGGGAAGATTGAAGGAGGGGGGCGGAGATGGGTGGGCTGGGGCAAGGGAAAGGAGAGGGAGAGAGGGAAGGGTGATTGAGATGGGAGTGGGAGCGGGGATGGTGGAGGCACAAGGAATGATGGACGAGGTTCTCATTGGTGCATGCTGGGATGGAGATGAGGAGAGGATTAGAGGGGGCCGGAGGGAGGAGGACGAGGAGTGGAGCAGAAGGGAGAGGAGGGAGAGGGATAAGGAGAGGAACAGCAGGAGGGCAAGGGATGTGAAGGCAGACCAACTCGCATCACTCCCTTCGCTGGATTCGCTCTCTTCATTCGAGCGCCTGCTCCTCCTCGTGGCCGGTGCGTGCCACGGCAGGCAGACCGCTCTGCTGCTGCTCCGGGAGCCCGAGTGGGCCGACGAGCGGGAGGAGTTGACTGCGGTGCTGCGCGGTTGCTTCGCCACCTCTGTGGGGGAGCCACCTGGGAAGCAGCTAGTGGGTTATATTCTGGGAAGTGGTGGTGTGGAGGAAGGAGAGGGGAGGGCGAGAGAGGGGAGGCGGAGGGGTGAGGAGAGGGAGAGAGAGAGGCAAAGGGAAAGAGGAAGGGAGTGGGAGGGAGGGGAGGAGAGCATTGCAGGGATAGAGGTGGTGGTTGGCACGTGGATGGTTAGGGCGCATCTCATGGCGAGTATGGGAATGGATGGAGGGCATACGGGAATGGATGATGACGGATTAGCAGGGATGGGATGTCTGGCGGGGGGAGATGAGGCTGTGGGGGTGATGTTGAGGCGTTTAGGTGTTGCTGTGGAGAGGGGAGGAGGTGAGGGGGGGATGGGTGAGGTGGGCGGGGAGGGTGGGGTTGAGAGGGTGGGGGATGGGGAAGGTGGTGAGAAGAGGAGGAAGAGGGAGATGAAGAAGGAGAAGAAGGGTAGGCGTGGCAAGGTGAGACGCGGAGGGGGTAGGGTGAGTAGCAAGAGAAGGAAGAGGAGGAGCAAGAGGCAGGAGAGAAGAGAGAGGAAGAAGACGAAGAGGAGGCGGAGGAACGAGAGTAGCAGAGATGATACCTCCTCCTCCTCCTCTGCTTCTTCTTCATCATCCTCTGCCCCTGCTTCTAGCGATAGTGAAGCGTCTTTTGATGGGGACGGATACTCAGATGAGAGGGAGAGTAGGAGTGAGAGGGAGATTGAGAGCGATAGCGGGAGGGAGAGTGAAAGGGAGGGGACAAGCACAGGAGGAGGAAAAGGAAGAGTAAGTGTAGGAGGCAGCGGGGAGTCTCACAGGCTGCGGAAGAGGAAGCGAAAGAGGAAGCAGCATAGGAGGGGGAAAAGGAGGAAGGAGGAGGAGCAAGAGGAGGAGGTGGTGGGTGGTGCGGCTGCTTGGCCTGAGAGGGGAGGGCTGTCTGAAAGGGGAGGGCTGTCTGAAAGGAGAGGCCCATCTGCTGCTTCTAGCGACTGGAAGCTGCTATTGGGACCTCTAAGTGTCACTTGCAGCACGGTATGTGTCACTTGCAGCACAGTATGTGTGAAGGGTGGAAGGGAAGGGAAGCGAGAGGATCGAGAAGTCGGTTACCCAACCCAGCCTTTGTTGTCCACTATTGGTCTTGGGCTAAATGGTTGCATACATGCCTGTAGTATCCACTCCCTTCTCATCCAGATCCCTCGTTCGTTCCTTTCCTCTTTTGTGTGTTTTCAGAGGGAGCTTTCAGATGCCGTCGCAGATGGCTTGCTACGTGTGTGCGTACTGTCAAAGGAGCTCATTGGATAAAAAGGTGGACGGTATTGGAGCTTTGTTTGTACATACAATGGTGAATATACCGTACCTATGTGAGCTACTAGGGGGAGGGGGGGGTGCTCTCTTTTGCCAAGCCAAAGGTTGTTTTCTGCTTGTGGGACACTCGGTGCTGTCCTTGCAGTCACTTTTCCTGGTTCACTAATCATGTCATGTCTTCCCGATTTTGCTTTGCATCTTCCCCTCATTATGGCGCGTGCTTGGCCAATTGCATATGGTAGGAAAGCCAATGTGCTTTTGCATGTTATTGTTGTTATATATATGATTGGGTCTACCTCCTTTGAACGAACCAAACCTCTCTAGACAACGAATAGAGCACGCACAGTGCACTAGCTAGATCTTAGAGCCACGGTGGGTGGCGGAATAAGGATGATGAGATCAGAATCATCCTACCGAAGTGAACACTAATCCCTCGGTAAAATCTCAGGGATCCGCGAAACCTCGGGATTCATTTGAGGGTGTTACGAGTGCAATTGAGTGAACGGACGAGAATTGCACTATCGAAGCAAGAATACAATGAGCGAGGGCGTGAGCGAAGAATATATAGCGAAACTACAGTGGTAACGGTAATGGTCTGTGATAGTCGCGCGACGAGCCTGGGACTGAGGTTGGGAAAGTGTCGAGGCGTAGGCCCGGAGCGCGGGTTACCAGCCGAGCCGTGAGGTCGGGATGCGATGTGCTAAAAATGGCGGGATGATTGTCGATGCGATGATCGAGAGTGGTAACGGTGCTGACTGAGGTGCTACAGTGATGTACGCGTTGAGCAGGGATGCGAAGTAAGGAAAAGGGATTTCCTTACAGAGGGCCAATCAACAGCGTCCTTGATCTGCGCTGGGAAATTCGAGCTGCTTTGGGAATGTCGTTCCATTTTCTCATTCCATGCATACAATGTCATTCTTCTCCTTGTCACTCTGCTGCTTGACAATGGAGACTTGCTGGACCATTTCCAACAAGGGAAGACTATTCTAGGCTGGAAGAGCTAGGGATTTCGTTGATCTTGCATACACGCGGTCAGTTCAGCAGATATTTGTTCTCTGAGAGTCCCTACCTATTTCGGCTAGGACCAGATCCTTCCGTAGCAAGAGGAATGGAAAACGGCGAGCCTCGAATTAGCGTTACGGAGAACCATGGTGGAAGCTATCGGAAGCTGCTTGAAGACGACTTTCTGATTCCGAACTCCGGCAACTTTCGTGTCGTGCTCCTCGAGAATGCCGTCGTCTGGCGCCGCACCAAGCCGTCTTCTGACAAGGTAGCATCAAATCTAGTCAGGCGTGAGTTACATGGTCATCTCGTATGGAACCATCGTCTGACAAGTAGCAGCCGCAGTTTCAGGCGTCAGTTACATAGTCACCTCATATGAAGTCGCCATCTGACAAGGCACAGCACCTAGACGCCGGAGGTGCACAAAATACGAGTTGCGAGCTGCACACATACTCTAGAAACTGGTATTGACAGATTATCGATTCTGGAGCGACAGAATCTTACACCAGACCGTCGCATTTGTCGAAATGGGATTCGAATCGCTACAGTCAGTTGCTTGCTGAAATCCCTTGTCCTCACATCTTTCAGATTCCTTCCTCGGTTGAGTTCTGTAAGAGGACGTGGTCACCAGAACGTCGTGATCCGACGATCACGCGTTGCGTCGGATCCGGTCGACTTTTGAGTCGACTCAAAAGTCATCACGAGTTGCGTCGGATCCGGTCGCCACTCATCGTCACCTGTTAACTCGTGCTCTCGACCACGAATTATTGCACCACGCTATACGCGGCATTCTGCGCTCCAATGCATAACTCTCAACACTCTCCTCAACTGGCTATCGCCATTCCGTTGCTTGTCTTCCTGAACCAGGCCGTACAAGGCAAGGCGGGGAGCCCGCAGAGGGAGGCGTCTGGAAGGGCGAAACGCGTTTCCGTTGCGGAAATCTACGCAGTGGAGAGATTGGATGAGGCGGCGGTGAAAGGGAGTCTCTTAGGTCCAGCAGCTAGAGTGAGTGGGACCAACAGCTAGATTAAGTTACAGACTCTCACGATTGTTTCCGTGGTGGATATCTACGCCGTGGAGGGATTAGATGAGGTGTTGGTGAAAGTTTTCTGCTTGATGTTTACCAGTACAGGCCAACTCTCCTTCTCTCCCCTTTTTCCCCACCACACCTTTCAGGCAAAAACCTACTTCTTTCCCCTCTCTCTCCCTCGTTTCCCTTTATTCCTCATACCTGCAGCTGCATCGTCTGGCCATCCATACTTTCCGGAAGGCTGCTGACAGGTGGACACCCGTGCAGCTTGTTCTGAGTCACGCTGATGTCAGCGTGTGTCAGCAGTGGGTCGATTCTATCCAATCACTGCTCAGGGCGGACCCTGAACGGCCCCGGAACCTGCTGGTGCGGTGACAATGAGTGCTGAAGTGGTGAACATGGGTGCTGAAGAGGTGAACATGGGTGCTGGTGTGGTGATCTGGTGGTGAGGGCAGATAAGGTGCATGCCTCGTCTTTTATTAACTTTTCCCACTCTGCTCCTCACATTCAGGAATGCAATATTCCCTGTTTCACTTCCACCTCACTTCCTGCTTTGTAAGTCTTCCTTGCAACGCACTTAAGACATGAGCACTCGAGACGTGGGTAGCGGTCAGTGCAGGATCACCTTCCCCCACCTCCCCACTTTCCCTCTCTTTCTCCTCGAGTTTTCTTTTCCCCTTGCTTGCAATCTCCAGGCGTTCATCAACCCCATCGGCGGCCACCGCAAGGCGCTCAAGACGTGGGCAGCGGTGAAGCCCGTGTTTGATCGGGCGGGAGTGGCGGTTACTGAGGTGGTCACGCAGCGGCAGAACCACGCTTTTGATGCCGTGTATGGGGCGACTGATGAGGAGATCTCAGCCGTTGATGGCATTCTGGTTGTGGTGAGTCATTGGATGGGTGGATGGGTGAACGGTGGGTGGGTGGGTGGATGGATGGATGGACGGGTGGGTGGGTGGAAGGACGGACGGATGGTCGGGAGGACGGATGGACAGACTTCAATACGATCCGATGCAGTCCAATATGTCTACACAGTCTCCATTCTCCTCCCGCCTGCCCCTCTCCCAACAGAAAAGGGGACGGCTTGCTCAACGAGGTGCTGAACGGGCTAGCCAAGAGGCGCCTTGGAAATAGGATCCTACGAACTCCCAATACAACCCCCCATGTACTCCAGGATCTCTAAATATTCACCATTTGTCTCCACCCGCCCACTCTCAAACAGGGAGGCGATGGCCTGTTCAACGAGGTGCTGAACGGGCTGGCCAAGAGGCGACACCACGCCCCCCCCTGCATCCACCCTTCTCGCCTCTCCTCTGCACGCCTCTCTCTCCCTCCCTCCTCCCATCTCTCTTCCACACCACCCCCACTCGCCTCCTCTGGTTCCCCTGCTGCTCTCTCGTCTGCCGCTCCGTCCTCTGTCAAGTCATCCCCACCCACGTCAGCTTCTCACTCTCTCACCTCTCTGTCTCCCTTTCGGTTGCTTGCTCGCCCCTTGCGCCTCTCCTTCTCCTCCTCCTCCTCCTCGCCCCAAAGACTTGCCGCTTCAGCAGCAGCAGCAACAGCAGCGACAGAGCCAGCACCTGCAGTAGCAGGGGCAGAAGCAGAGAATCGGCAAGGCAGCAGCAATAGCAGCCAGGTCAAACGGGTGCTGCTGGAAGAGTCTAGCGATGAATCACTGCCACGTGTTGCGGCTGGTGATGCTGGTGGTGCTGGTGGCTCTGTTCCAACCGGTGGCGCTGCCGCTGCTCCTCCTTTTCCTGCCGTTGCTGCTACCAATGATGCGGCTGCTGCTGCTACAAATGAGAGTCTGTTTGCAAATCTGGGAGCAAGGAGTGACGGAGGGCAGAGTAGCGAGGAGGATGGAGACAGGGAAGAAGCTAGGGGATGTGGAAATGCTGTTGAAGCGATAACACAGTCAGGGGCACAAGTAGAGGGGGCACAGTCAGGGGCACAAGTAGAGGGGGCACAGTCAGGGGCACAAGTAGAGGGGGCACAGTCAGGGGCACAAGTAGAGGGGGCACAGTCAGAGGCAGCTGAGTGTGTGAACGTGGGCCTTCAACTGCCACATGCTTTGCGTATTGGCATCATCCCTGCTGGATCTACTGATTGCATCATTATGAGGTAGATATTGCACTCGGTATAACATCGCATTATCATGTGTAGCTATGCTGTGAAATGTGCCAGCACCGCATGCACACTTGGGTCACCGCTTGCCAGCCCACTCCCCAGCCGGCCAATGCTCCTCAATCCTCCCAATACCCACACTCCTACCAATACCACTCCGCCCATTACCCACATTCCTCCCCACACCAGTGTGACAGGATCTCGAGACCCTACGACTGCAGCGCTGCACGTGGTTCTGGGCCATCGCATGCCTCTGGATGTGGCGAGAATCACTACGTGGAAGGAAGAGGAGCAGGCGGGGAAGCAAGGCGAGCAGTCAGAGGAGGAGAAAGAGGAAGAGGGGCAACGGAAAGAGGGGGAGCAGGCAGAGACGGGTGGAGAGATTGGGGGCAGTGGAGGCAGGGAGGAGGGGGGCGAAGGAGAAGCGGAGCTTGTGAGGGAGGGGTTTGCGGGTGGAGATGGAAGAGAGAAGGCTGGGGGAGCTGGGAGCGAAACAGAAGGGGCTAAGGCAAAGACAGAAGAAGAGGAGGAGGATGAGGGTGTGGAGGTCCGCTATGCTGCCTCTTTCTTTGGGTGCGTGCATGTGGTGTGGTGTAATGTGGTGTGGTGTGATGTGGTGTGGTGTGGTTGAGCTCAGAGCGTTGCCTCTTCTTTAGTCACTTGTTGCTGCCAGCCCAGTTTTGTGCTCCTATATTCTTCCACTTTGTCTTTTTCCTTTTGTCTTTTTCTGCTTCTGGTTCTCTTCCCTTTCCCCCACCCAGCTATGGATTCTACGGCGATGTGATTCGGCGAAGCGAGGGGCTCAGATGGATGGGGCCGGCGCGGTACGACTATGCTGGGCTCATGACATACCTGCACCACAGGTGAGTGCAGTGCGGTGAAGCGCGGTCCGGAGGGATGCAGCGTGTTAGCTAGCAGCCGCAGTGCAGTGCAAGGAGTGCTCAGATGGATGGGGCCAGCGCTGTATGACTACGCTGGGCTCATGAGGTACCTGCACCACAGGTGGGTGCAGTGCGGCGAAGCGCGGTTGAGTTATATGTAATGTGGTTGCGAGATAGGCAATGCAAGTCAATCCAACTCTGCCTATGTCCTCCTCCCTGTTCGTCCACATTCAGCCTCCTTGGCCCAAATGTGGATATCCCATCCCTGTCCCTTATCCTCCTCTGCCTACCTCACCCCTTCCTCTACCTCTCCCTCCTCTTCTTATCCCATCCCTTCCTCTTCCCATCCCCGCCCTGCCTATTCCTTCCCCTCCACCCACCATCAGGTCATACGATGCGGAGGTGTCCTACTCTGACGTGCACTCCTCTGCAGGGTGTTCTCCTTGACCCCACCCCCACCCATCCCACCTCGTCCTGCCCATACCCCATCAGGTCGTACGATGCGGAGGTGTCCTACTTTGACGTGCTTTCCTCTGCTGGGCCAGCCCCAGGAGCACCCGGTGAACAGCACAAGCAGGGTGCACGGAGGCTCACCCCTCTCCCCACCCCATCTCGCCCACCCACCATCAGATCGTACGATGCAGAGGTGTCATACTTCGACGTGCACTCCTCTGCTGGGCCAACCCCAGGAGCACCTGGTCAACCCAGAGTCAACTCCCTATCACACCCGTCCACCTCACCCACCATCAGGTCGTACAATGCCAAGGTGTCCTACTCTGACGTGCACTGCTCTGCTGGGTGTTCTCCTTGACCCCACCCCCACCCCTTCCACTGTGTATCTTACACCAACCTCTCTCTATTCCGTCCCGCCCATCCACCCACCATCAGGTCATACGATGCTGAGGTGTCCTACTTTGACGTGCACCCCTCTGCTGGGTGTTCTCCTTGACCCCACCCCCACACCTTTCTGTTTATTCCCCCCCACCCCCACCCACCATCAGATCGTACGATGCTGAGGTGTCCTACTTTGACGTGCACCCCTCTGCTGGTCCAGCCCCAAGACCTGCAATCCAAGCGTCCCCTGTCCAAGCAGCAGGGTTGGAAGCATCTCCATCCACTGCAGCAGAGTCGGACGCATCTGCAGTCCAAGCAGCAGCAACCTTGGGAGAATCCCCATCCCAGGGCGTTCTCGCGCCCCCTCTGCTGGCAGCAGCATCACCACTGGAAGCGGGGCCTGTGAGGGGTTTAGAGAGGAGCTTCACTGATCAGCTCCCTAGAACGCATGGTCTGGATGATGATGACGAGGAGGAAGAGGAGGAGGTTGGGGAGGTGGAGGACGGGGAGGAGAAGGTGGGAGAGGAGGTGGTGGAGGAGGACGGAGGGGTGGGAGGAGAAGGGAAAGGAGAGGTAGAAGGGGGTGGAGAGGGGAAGGTATTGGGTGGAGGGGACGGAGAGGGGAAGGGAGAGGGGGAAGGGATGCCACTGCAGGCTGTGGAGTGGAACGGAAGGCTGCGGCGGCGCACCTTCAGCAGCCCCATGCTGGTGAAGACACGGTGAGAGGGCGAGAGATGAAAGCTAGAAAGATAAGGTGCAGAAACGGCGGATAAACACCATTACTGGAGGGCAGGCGCCCTCTTAGGTGTGTTACTGGAGGGCAGGCGCCTTCTTAGGTGTGTTACTGGAGGCGCCTGCCTAGGTGTGTTACTGGAGGCGCCTGCCTAGGTGTGTTACTGGAGGCGCCTGCCTAGGTGTGTTACTGGAGGCGCCTGCCTAGGTGTGTTACTGGAGGCGCCTGCCTAGGTGTGTTACTGGAGGCGCCTGCCTGCCTAGGTGTGTTTTTTCAAGTGTCAACAATGAGTGAAAGGCTGCTTCACTGGGCTTTAAAGTGTGTGGTCTTGGATCAACAGCAGTGATCAATCCTGACTCATAAGTTTCCTGTCTTTTCTTCCTTGTGCCTTTTCTTCCTGCATGGCTTCTATGTGCAGCAGAACCAGCACAAGCAGCAGGTGCAGTATCAGCAGCATGAGGCGCAGCAGATTCCCAGACGTGTGCACTGCGGGATGCTCTGTGTGTGCCAGAAGCACTGACCTCTCCCAGCTTGCGAACGATTCAATCACAAACCTTCCCATTCTTTCTTCCTTGTGGTTCATGTGTGACCCCTATGTTCAGTACCGGCACAAGCAGCAGCAGCATCAGACGCGGCAGCATGAGGCGCAGCAGCTTCCCAGATGTGTGCACTGCGGGATGCACTGTGTGCGCCAGCAGCACTGACCTCTCCCAACTCGCACGCGCCTCCCACAGCCTCCTCACACTCGACACCTCATCACTCGACCTGGCCCAGATCTCTCACAGTCAATCGGGTGCTGCCACGTCAGCACCTGTGGGTGTAGCTGAGCAAGAGGGGTTATTGCAGAAAGGAGGGCAGAGTGGAGAGGGTGTGTGTGCAGTGGGGGGGATGGAGAAGCAGAGTGAGGGGCTGAGGCCCTGTTGGAGGACGGTGCGAGGAAAGTTCCACAGCGTGGGGGCGGCAGTGATGTCTTGTCGAAACGACAAGGCGCCAGATGGCGTCGCGGCACAGGCCCACCTGGCGGACGGCAATCTACATCTCATCCTGATCCGCAAGTGCTCGCGCCCCGAGTACCTCCAGTAAGCTTGCACGCTTTTTTTCTCTCTCTCTTTATTGGCGATATTTGAAGGCGCCGTGTTGATGCTGCTCATGTCTAACGTCTGCCTGCGTTTACCTTTTATCTCCGTGTCTTGCTCCTCCCACCTCCCATGGCTCATTTCCCCAATGGCAGTCAGCTGACTCGCCTAGCCCGCAAAGGGGCCGACCCATTCGCCTTTGAATTTGTGGAGACATACAAGGTACGATGAACTGTTTCGTTTGCAAGCAGTTTTTTATAATGAATGACGGCAAAATCTTCCTACTTGTCCTCCAAGTTCCATTCCATCGCTCGCACCTTATCACATTCTTTCCCCTCCCGTCCAATTCCAACCCTGCCCTCTCCCATTCATCCCTGTGTCCGTACCCCATATGTTATTGTAACTAGACCCCAGCCTTCATGTTCACATCTCACGGGAAGCAAAGCACGTGGAATGTGGATGGGGAGTTGGTGGTCGCCTCGCAGCTCTCTGCTCAAGTCTTCCGCGGATTAGTCGACATATTTGCATCTGGACCCGAGTTTTGATTTGGCCGCGTAATGAATAGAACGATGTATATAGCTTCTCATGCTTGATAGGGCTATAAAATGATTTCACAGTAACGTGCTATCTTTCATATGCACATAGTGGTACGTTGAATTTCAGGCACTCTGTAAGGAAAATTCCTTTTTCTTGCTTCGCATCCCTGCCCAACGCGAACATCATTGTAGCACCACACTCAGCACCGTTACCACTCGCAACCCTCGCATTGACAATCCGCCCGCCACCTTAGCACACCGCACCCCGACTTCACGGCTCGGTGGGTAACCCGCGCTCCGGGCCTCCGCTTCGACACTTTTCCCAACCTCAGTCCCAGGCCCGTCGCGCGACAACCACAGTCCATTACCATTACCACTGTAGTTTCGCTATATATTCTTCGCTCATGCCTTCGCTCATTGTACTCTTGCTTCGATAGTGCAATTCTCGTTCGTTCACTCAATTGCACTCGTAACACTTGGTATTCAGAGCCTACGATCTCCTCTCGGACCGCACCCACACCTTCGCTTCCCCACTATCTCAATTTTTGGGGGGGGTAGACGTCTCTCAGCGACACAGCACCGCCGCTCGTAGTGCTCTCCCGTAAGCATGCACGGCCACGACCGTGGCTCTCGCTGAGCTCGCCCGACACCCCCGCCATGGCCGAATTCACGCTCGCCACATTGACGCAGGAGCAGCTCGACCGTCTGGTGCGCCAGCTTGAAGATTCGGCGCTCGAAATTGCGACGCTCACGGCGGAACGTGAACACTCCAACGCCACCACACGCACCGACAAATGCATCTGCACAATCAGACGAGCCGATCGTCATCTCGTCCGGCACACCAACACAAAACAACAGCGTGGGAGAGCGCTCAGGCGCAGCCAGCGATGGTGCCGCCCAGCCGATGCCTGGCATGGGAGGAAACAGGGTCGCACCAAGCCCGCGGGAGCCTCGCGAAGCCCGTCGGCACGTGGAGTTCGCGGCGACAAGTGGCGAACAGACCATTATGGCACCAATGCCACTCAAGCCGCAACGCCCGCCTTGCTTCGACCTGAGCCAGCGTGGAGGTCCGACGGTTCAATCGTGGGTCTTCACGATGAACGTCTTCTTCGACGCGAATTACGTCGAGTCGGACGCAACGAAGATTCGGTATGCCGTTTCGCTGCTAAGGGGCCCCGCCATGGACTGGTGGCGAGTCATCATGACGTCGCCATGCGCCTACGAGCCACCGTCGCAAGAGGAAGGGCCCACGGGCCCAGCTGTCACCTGGAGTTCATTCTGCGAGACCGCCCAATACAGCACGTGGGATGCGTGGTGCGCAGGGCTTCGGGCGCGCTTCGAGCCGATCGCGGCTTCTATTTCGGCGCGTCAGAGTTTGCGCACTTGGCGGCAGCTTGGATCGGTTCAAGACTATACGAGTGGTTTTCTCGCATTATGCGAGCAAGTCGGCTACATGCACGAAGCGGAGCGGGTGGACCGTTACGTCGGAGGGCTGAAGCCGGACATCTCGCACGAAATCATGCTACGCGGGCTCTCGAACTTCAACGAGATTCTCGCGCTCGCCAAGAAAATCGACATTTTACGCCGTCCGAGACCGGGGTCCTACTATGGACATCGTCCCCGGGGACCGATCGAGCACACCACTGTACACGCTGTTGCGATGAATGCAGCTGCCGCGCCGTTTAAGGGGCGTTGCTTTGCTTGCAACAGGCCGGGCCATCGCAAGAGCGAATGCCCAGAGGAGCTAAGGCGCCGCGGAGCAGAGCAGGGGAGGGAGTCTCCAAAGCAGGGAAACGCCAGCAGTCAGTAGGAATCGGGCCAACTACGGACGAGACTGCCTGCTCGCCCAACCCCACCGACCCTCACCGAGTCACAGTACCGATTCATGCTATCGATCGGACTCGGACGAATAAGGAGGGTACAGCGACGGATTGCCCAGTACTGATCCACGGGAAAATACAGGGAGCAACAGTGAAGATTTTTATCGACGGAGGAGCAAGCCACAGTTTAGTTAATACCGCAACCGCACGAAAACTGCAGCTAACACTTAGCCGTTGCTTACCGGAGATAGACGCACGCTTAGTCGACGGCACGCCACTGGCCATACGAGAAAAGGTTGAGAGAGTCAAAGTCCGCTGCGGGGGAAATTTTGGGTTTAGACAGGAAATGCTCGCAACGACACTGGATGGGCACGATATTTTACTGGGACGTGATTGGCTGCGACGGTATAACCCGTGAATTGACTGGACGACGGGTAGGTGCACCGTGCGAAGTAGTGGTAACTGGGTCGAGCTACCTCGCTGGCAGTCGCCCGAGTCTTCAACGGTACACGTCAACGCCATCACAATGAAACGGGCTGTCGCTGCTGGAGCTAACGTGTACGCAGTAGACATCGGAGTAGTAGAGGAAGCGGAGCACCCGAGTGATTTCAAGAAACTGCTGGCAGCCGTACCACCCGAATTACAGGAACTGTAGAAACAATACCCCGGGATTTTCCCTGACGACTTACCAGAAGGTCTGCCACCTCAGCGAGCACATGACCACCGAATCGAACTAGAACCGGGGGCACAACCAACCGTACAGCGCCGGTTCAGACTGACACATCCCGAGCTCGACGAACTAAGGTGTCAAACTTATATCATATAGCTTGTCTAGGCTATAGTGGGGTAGACACTATGGGGTACAGTTTCCTAGGGTTTCCTACTTGTACCCAACCTTGTGCTAGTTCATTCATTCCTCATTTCTTCACATGGTATAGAGCAGGTTCCCTAGTGGGAACGCTTCCTTAGGCCCACCACTAAAACTTTTATTTCTGACTGGAGCGCCAGTCGCTCCTGCCCGAGGCGCGCCTTGTGGGCCGCCCTTCTGTCGAGCTCTCTTAGAGGCCCCTCTCACGGCCCCTCGCGCCACCCTTAGCGGCCCCGTCGCCGCCCCTAGCGGCCCCGTCGCCGCCCTTCCAGGCCCCTCGCGGCTCCTAGCGGCCCTGTTGCCGCCCCTATGCGGCCCCGTCGCCGCCCCTAGCGGCCCCGTCGCCGCCCCTAGCGGCCCCATCGCCGCCTCTCTCCCTACGCGGCCCCGTCGCCGCCCCTACGCGGCCCCGTCGCCGCCCCTAGCGGCCCCGTCGCCGCCTCCCTCCCTACGCGGCCCTGTCGCCGCCCCTACGTGGCCCCGTCGCCGCCCCTAGCGGCCCCGTCGCCGCTCCCCTCCCTACGCGGCCCCGTCGCCGCCCCTACGCGGCCCCGTTTCCGCCCCTACGCGGCCCCGTCGCCGCCCCTAGCGGCCCCGTCGCCGCTCCCCTCCCTACGCGCCCCCGTCGCCGCCCCTACGCGGCCCCGTCGCCGCCCCTACGCGGCCCCGTCGCCGCCCCTAGCGGCCCCGTCGCCTCCTCCCTCCTTACGCGGCCCTGTCGCCGCCCCTACGCGGCCCCGTCGCCGCCCCTAGCGGCCCCGTCGCCGCTCCCCTCCCTACGCGGCCCCGTTGCCGCCCCTACGCAGCCCCGTCGCCGCCCCTACGCGGCCCCGTAGCCGCCCCTAGCGGCCCCGTCGACGCTCCCCTCCCTACGCGGCCCCGTCGCCGCCCCTTCGCGGCCCCGTCGCCGCCCCTAGCGGCCCCGTCGCCGCCCCTAGCGGCCCCGTCGCCTCCTCCCCCTCTACGCGGCCTCGTCGCCGCCCCTACGCGGCCCCGTCGCCGCCCCTAGCGGCCCCGTCGCCGCTCCCCTCCCTACGCGGCCCAGTCGCCGCCCCTAGCGGCCCCGTCGCCGGCCCTACCCGGCCCCGTCGCCGCCCCTAGCGAGCAGCCGAGCCGCCGAGCCGCCCAGCATCCGAGCCGCCGAGCCGCCCAGCACCCGAGTCGCCCAGCAGCCGAGCCGCCCTTGGAGCAGCCGCCCGTGCTGCAGCCGCCCCTGGAGCAGCCACCCCTGCAGCAGCCGCCCCTGGAGCACCCGCCCCTGGAGCAGCCGCCCCTGCAGCAGCCGCCCCTGCAGCAGCCGCCCCTGGAGCAGCCACCCCTGCAGCTGCCGCGGAGCTCTCGCCCTACAATGGTAGCGGCCTCGCCGTTGCCGCCGTCGTACGCCTGCCCTTCTCGCCACTGGTGAGCACTGCCCTGCCCCTATTGCTGTTACAACTGCTCTTGCTGCTACTGCTCTTTCCACTGCTTCTGCTGCTCCTGGCGTGGCCAGATGCAGCTCCAGCATCGCCCGCGTGAGTCCCTCACCCCCCAACAGCTTCGTGAGTGGTACGCTAGTTGGGGTTGTCGGGGTGGCCGTAGTGGGAGTCGTCCTGGAGTGAGTAGTTCCACAGCTGCTTGTAGTGGCCAGGTGCAGCTGCAGCGTCGCCCGCGTCAGTCCCTCACCCCCAAGAGCTTCGTGAGTGGTACGCTAGTTGGGGTTGTCGGGGTGGCCGTAGTGGGAGTCGTCCTGGAGTAAGTAGTTTGGCAGCTGCTTGTAGTAGCCAGGTGCAGCTTCAGCGTTGTCCGCACGCGGTCCTTTCGCCCCAGCAGCTTCGTGAGTGGTACGCTCAGCGTGACGGGTCATGGGGTACTGCTCGCTGTCCGTACGTCATTCGCACTGGAGCTCGGACTGGTAAGCCTTGCGGGACGCTTGGTCACGCAGAGTCCCGCTGCTTCGCCCGTCCGAGCGACGACTGGCGTACGGAGTTTGGCGACGCGGCTGAGCTCCTCGACTGGGTGGAGCTGCTTCGGCTGCGGGTAGATATCTATACTCTTAACTATGATGCTATTCTCACTACCATGTATGCATTGCCTACTAGTGATGAGGGTGACTGTTACCTGTGTGTTCCGCCTGACCCGGGCATTGAGGCTGCTGCTCTAGGTGCTGGTGAGGCTGCTGCTCTAGGTGCTAGTGCGTCTGCTGCCCCAGGTGCTGGTGAGTCTGCTCTCTCAGGTACCACGTCGGCTCAGGCCTTACACACCTTCACTCTTGACTCGGGTGCTTCCCGCTCCTTCTTTCGAGACCGCACCACGCTTACGCCGCTCAGTCGGCCGGTTGCGGT